ACCGACTACAAGCTGTTATAGACAAAGAAGGCCGTCAAATCCAGAAGGAAGACTACTAAAAGTTTCAAAATACTCAAAAATATATGTAACCACTAAAATATATCCAATAAAACTGTTTGAATCATAATGCATTAAAACAATTAGAGAAGAATTTGTATTATGTGTGGTTTTTTTAGGTTCACCCTTTAGAAGATCTGCAGAATTTATCTTAATTCTTATCAGTAAAATAATCGCAATTTTTTGTATTCTTTAATTTTTGTTTTATTTACACTTTTATGATAAATTGCTAGTGTTCACTTGTGGAAGATTATTGTGTCCTTGTTGTTTAAACAATAGATAAATAGTGTTTAAATTAAATCAGAACTCTAGAATATATACATACATCACTTTCTTTCCCTGTATTTCAAACTTAAATTTTTTTTGCAATATTATTAATTGGATATATTTTCTGACAAACATTTAACTCTATTTCATTTTATTGATAAATAAGATGATCCCAAGTAACAGTTTTGTAGAAAATCCCTGGAAATACCCATGAATTTTCCCTGGGAATCCACGGAAATTCCCAGGAATCTTTCACAGGAAAATCTGTTGAAAATGACAACAGCTATTCCGAGCAATTTCTTGTAACCCGTTCCGAAGAACCAGGTCCAAGGAATTTCTTGTAACCAATTTCAAGGAAATTGTAGTTACCAATTCTGCAGAAAAACTGGAGAAAATGTCGACTAAATTTGTGGAATTTCCAGTGAAAAGTTCTTCAGAACCAATTCCTGGGAATTTCCTGGGATGATTTTCTCAAGAGTTCCTCAGGAATATCTTGATATATTCTCAGCATATCCTGAGTAAATTCACTAACCAGGACCTAAGCCTGATAGTAGTGAATAACTAAACAACCATGGTCCTAAAGCAAATTATCATTTTTTATCAATAAGGATGCAAAGAAGAAAAGATTTAGTTAGGACAGTGCATAATAGAAGAGAACCTTAGAGACACCTATTGGAAAAAAAACGGAACTTGAAAATTCTTAGGAATTTCTTTAAAAAAATTCCAGAAAAATTCTCAGGAATTTCTTGAAACTTATTCTCTTATATAATTCTCCCAAAAATCTGTAAACTTGGTGACCAAGTCCTAAAAATTTCTCAGGAATTTCTTGGGGTTAAATTCCAGAGAAATTCCCAGGAATTTCTCAAAACTAATTCTTTTATTAAATTTCCCTTAAAATCCATAAACATGGTGACCAAGTCCTAAGAATTTCTCAGAAATATCTGGAGAAGTAATCAGGAGAAATTCTCAGGATTTTCTTGGGGTGAAATTCAAGAGAAACTCCCAGGAATTTCTTGAAACTAATTAATAGATTCCCCTAAAAATCCATAAAGATGGTGGTCAAGTCCATAGAATTTCTCAAAACTAAGTCTCAAAACTGTGATCCCACAAAAATTTCTTGGGGACCAATTCCGGGGATTTTCTTGAGAATGTCATAAGAATCAGTTACAGGAAATGATTCTTGAGAAATTCCTCAGAAATTCTTCAAAAAAATTCACCACAGTTGGAGAATCTGGGAAAATTCCTCACTTATATTACTTGGGATATTTCTTATTTTCTATTTCAAACTTGAATATTATGAATTGGATATATTTTCTAAAAAACTCTATTTCATTTTCATCGATGATTAAGCTGATATTTTTTAATTTCTTAGAATTATATAAACATGTTTACCTACCCTCCCACCTATGTGTGATCCCCTTCCCCTGACAATAAGCTGTTTTTGGGGAAATTAATGAACACCTGACCTTCCAGATTAACTTTCCAATGATAATTCCTTCCTTTCTGAAAGGTATTCAAGCCTCATTCTAATATTAAAAAACTCTAACTCTTCAACTCTCAAACCTAAACCACCCTGGATTCTAGTCAGCCCTCTTATTAGGAAAGGAAAGCATAAGGAAAGTTACATATTTATCATTTAAACTATATTTAATATAAATAAGTGGTGGATTGTTAGTATTTTTCGACAATTAACTAAGAACTTTTAGAAATAAAAATTATAGATTTATTTTTAATATTAAAAAGGTAAATTAGCTGTAAGTGTGCTATAAATTTTTGATTGGTTCCCAGATTTTCTCCAAAAGTTTTGGATATTTCCGAAATAATTAATTAACTAATATTTATGCTGTGTTTCAAAGCTTATTTGATCTAAAAAAAGCATTGAAATAAGACAAGTACACAAACATTTCATAAAATTACCTATAACACTATTATTTTGGCACCACATGCGATAAATTTTTTAGGCTTAAATTTTCTCGTTATCTCAAAGGTTCTCCCCGTTTTAGATCATATTTTGTCCCTTGCTAAAGCTTGAGACAAAATTAAATTAAAAAAGACTTAAACCAAAATAACATTGTTTTAGATAGTCATATTAAACTTATTTAAAATTACATTTTTTGCATATAATATTTGTAAAAGTAGTTAAAGTTTATTTTAGTAAAATGTTTTTTTCGCATCCTATTCAGTACTAATCTAAATATAAAAAGATTACTATGTTAAGAGTTCTCAATGAAGTATGTAAATATTAAAATAAATAATTTCTGATGTCATTCTAGGGTTTGCAATGCAAGTGGATTTTACTTGAGCAAAATTGTGTGCTCCATAAATCGGCCTAATTTTGTATTATTCTGCACAATAGATTTATAATTGGAAATTCTTTAGTCAGTTGTAAATAATTCTAAAGCAGTTGTTTAAAAATTTTATTTTTAGGCTTTTCAGGAATACTGATTTATGATATGATTAAAATTAATTCTATGGCAAACCCACCTATCTTTAGTTTATCTATGTATTAATGTTTAAGGAATTATGTTACTATCAATCAAGTTATTTTTAATGTATTGAAAAAAATATGTATCAGGCATATTTCAGTAGGCTCTAATCTTTTCTTTATTTTCTATGATTCATATAAACTAGAAAAAAGATTTTCACCATATAAAGTGGATGATTTTTGAAAAAGATTTCAATTTAATTGTTTTGACAAGCATATGCAGTACCCTGCAAGCAATAAATGAATTGTTGTTAAAATTTACATAATGAATTTCCAACAGATTGGAAATCAATTTATTATTTCTTGAAACTTTTTTCCAGCAAATCCTAAACTGAATTACTTACAAATACATTTTGAAATTTGTGGTGGAAGCCAGTTAATTGTATTGTTGTAAGCAGAGCATACCAGTGTTTGTTCTAAATATGAATTTTTTACATGATTTCTTTCCAACGTATAAATATGTCAAAGAAAGTTAACAACCCAGGGTTTATTTTTAAGTGCAAACCCTGTTTAGCCCACCCCCTTCTATATATATATATATATATACTTTGTTTTTCTGTTTGTATCCAATAAACTGAACGGCTAAACTGATCAAACCCAAATTTTGTGTGGGACATTACATGACCCCAGGGAAGGTTTAAGGATAGTCAATTTTCAAAAGAATTTGAAAATTTATAAAAAAATTTTGAAATCCATGTATACAAAGAGAATATTTTTATCAATGAATTAGGAGATGGTTGCAAAGCACCCTAAAAAGCCAAATAGATGTAAACTACTCCAAAATCAAAATTGGGTTATATGTCAATTTATAAAATTCAACATTTGCTGAGAATCAAATCTTAATTTTTACACTTAAGAAAGCGCAGCAATGCACACAAAAACATGCTACAACCTTAGGATTTTGGGGCAGTTTACATCAATACGTCAACCCCCCATTAAAACTCTTTAAACCCTTTAATACCTTTTAGGGTGCTATTTCATTTGAACTACTGCCGTTTGAACTATGGCTCATTTGAACTATTGTTCATTTCAACTACTGCACGTGGGACCACGTGAGTAGTTGAAATGAACAATAGTTCAAACGAGTAAATATATTACTCATTTAAACTATTTTTTAGTTCATTAGAACTATTTTCATTTGAACTATTAAAATATTATTAATGAAATAAACCAAAAATAGTTCAAATGAACATAAAAATAGTTCAAATGAAAAAAAGAATAGTTCAAATGGACAAAAAAATAGTTCAAATGAGCAAAAAAATAGTTCAAATGAACAAAAAAATAGTTTAAATG